CATAGATTGGAGTGACCACCTTTATTACTGCTATTAGAAACTTTCTCACTGTTCAATCACTCTGATATTAGGCTGGTTCTCATTGTTGCACTACTGCACCCAGTGTCTCATAGTACTTTCACTTTTTTTGTCCCTGACATAGCCTTCACCTATTGGCATGTTGGGGTTTGTTGGTATCTCTCGATGTTTGTCACATGCTCCAACCACTACTAGCACTGTTGATCCATTTGCTAAGTTGAGCTGACTATCATTCATGCAGTGTTTAATCATGGAAATAGCACTTTCTTCTTGTCGTGATTCTAACGATTTGTCTCCATTTTGTTTATTCTAGCAGTGGAATCCATGGTGACAATCATTCTTTTCTTGTTTCTTGCTAGCACTATCTTTGTGGTTAGCCCCAGCTGCTTTATGTTGAGATATCTGCTGCTGCTTCTTCGTGACAGACTTGCACTTTCTCAAAATGTGCATCATTTTATAACAAGCATAGCATCTCTTCTCACTTCTGTCTGTTGACTTCTTGTCACCTTTGGTGTTATCCTGCTTCTTGTCTGCCACCCATGAATTTTGACTTTAACTGGTTATTCTCGGACTTGACAGTCATAGTCCCTCCATGGGCTTTCATGTACTGTTCTGCCAGCCTGAACAACTCGTCAACATCCTTTAGTGTTCTCTCCTTTAAGAACAGTGACATGTCAGTTGAACATGTTATCATGAATTGTTCAAGTATTAGTAGATCTGCTGGTTCTTTAAAATTGTGTTTACACTTATTTAGCTATGTCAGTCCATCTTATGAAGTATTTCTGTAGACGTGTCACAAATTGAAATACAGTTACTTCAGTGTCAGGTTTGACTTCTCTGGATTTCTGACAAAAACCTTTCTGTGTAAGTGCATAAAGTTTCACCAAGGCCACTTTTACATTGTCACAATCCATGGGATCATCTGACATCATGCCTGCACACACTTGTAGGCTCTTCCTGTGAGCAGGGGGCTGAGACAGACTGCCCAGTCACCTCTGTCCCAGTTCTGACTTTGGGTGAAAAGGAAAACATCCATGTCATCTTTCTGTTCATCAAATTTAGGCAGCTTGGGTTGGCTGGCCCTTACCACATTGTCATTCTTGGGTTATTTGTCTTTCTGTTGGGTGAGCTTGGCGATCTCAATTTAAACCCTTATTCTTTCTATTTACAGTCTCCTCTTTCTCATTTTCATCTTTCTCCATTTGTGCTCTTATTCTTTCTATTTTCAGTCTCTCTTTTTTCTCAGTTTTTATTCTTATTCTCTCTTCTCTGCCTACACTCTTTTCTCACTAGTTCTTTTTCTTCTTGTTTAACAAACTTTCTTAGATCGCTATCTTTGAGCCCAAGTCATTCACTTCTCTCTATCCATTTATCAAAGTCAGTCGATATGGTTATACAGTTTGGTTGTAATATCTGCACTATTTTTGCCACCATTACAATTGTGTGTATATAGGACTCCTTATACTCTTCTTCCCGTCTTCTTTTATTGCCAATTACAACTATATGATCGTGGTTGGCTCACCAAATATCGGGTTTTTACTTATGTGTGCGGGCCGGGATTCTTTACAGTAGGTTTCTGTGACTTATTGGAGATAAATTTCAGAAACAAACAGCACACAACCCACTTGGTTTAAAATAATATGTTAAAACACGTCAAATTTATATACAAATGTTTATTACACAATTAATCACCACAGTTGAATCCAGAGCTTTAAATAATTATTTTTTTGTCAAAAGCCCACTCTTAACAAAAACGTGTATTTTCACACACGGAATTTCACAAACACACACACACACACACACACACACACACATATATATATATATATATAATAGGTCGTCAAGAAACTAATGTCGTTTTTTTAGATAAAACCGAACAACTTATATATGAAAACAAAACATTT